GGCCCCTGCGCAAGGATGACACGCATAAAAAAAAAAAAAAAAAAAAAAAAGAACTTATGGACTTCACAGCCGATAGAACGCCCCGTCAGTAGAGATGCATTTAGGGCAACTTTCAGAGCAGATGCAGCCATAATGACCGGGCAAGGGCGCTCTATTGGGGTGAAGAGGGTAGTACTGTAATTTGAGGGTGAGAGTGACTGGAACGACCAAGTAGCGTGGCTCAGCTGATGCTTTATTTGGTACACCCATGAATTCATTCTTTGAAATACAGACCTGAGTTTGAATTCCAATAGCATCAGATGTCATTGAGTGAAAACAACTCTGAATTTACCTGACGGCCTGGGCCAGGTGCCCCATTTTCCTGGGAAAAAGAAAGTAGAAAAGAGAGACCCAATAGACCAGGTGGAGCGTCTGCAAAATAACAGCAATTGCAGTCAGATACACGATTTGCTACGTGGCTGTTTGAGATTTCCAATAATGGATGTTGGATGTCGTTGACGTTGATGTCTATCGCAGGTACAGGGAGCACTCTCCTCCCACGCAAGCACCAGGAGCCACTGAGCGTAACCCGAGGCTGACTGCAGAGCGACACACGGGAACGGTGGAGGGACAGAGCGGAGCCTAACGGAGCCTAACGGAGGAGATACAGACCGTACTATGCTAACGGCGGCTGGCGGAGGAGAGGCCGATCTGAAGCTAACGGAGGCTAGCGAAGCTACTGCTGAGTTTATCCCAGTCCGACGGAGGAGAAACTAGCGCACAGATCTCTTCTCCACCGGCTGACAAGCTCCAACCGGCATTCATTTCATGCCAAGTGCCATTACATCCATGGCCTCCCGACATGCCCTTTGCGGTTGGAAGGCTGTCATTCTCTTTGCAGCCATGATATTCCTAGTTGCTGCCTCGCAAGCAACTGCTCGCCGCGTCCAGCATGCGCAGCCTGCAACATACGATGGCCACGTCGCAATCGCGGAACTTCAAGGTAGAGCTCTGCGGGAATTCCTCTCACAGTGCCCGCACGGTGGCTGTCCCGATAATTGCTGGTGCCACGCTTATAAGTGCTGGACATGGTACCCTGACTGCAGATGCATCCGGCATTGCAAGCGCTGATCCTACTTGCTGGTATTACAGTCACACGTCTGTTTAAACAAACAACTAGAATGTTCAGTGACGCTGGACCCGCTTTCCAGCAGGTGATGCTCCACACCAATAGATGGAGCCTCCCAAGGAGTGCTATCCTTACCTGTTCCTATCAGTCACCCCTAGCATCAGCTCGGGTCGTTTCTCGAAAAAAAATAAAAATAAAAAAAATGAAGAGAAAACTGCAGCGCAGTCAGGGTTTGAGTTTGAAAATGCACTTGTTGAGGCAAAAGGGACGGTAATGGTGAACGTATATAACCTAGGTTTCGGTCCGGTGGGGTCACGTGGGGGTGTGTTGTGTTTGCGGGATTGCCTGAGGAGCATTTCGTGACTGCGCTGAAATTACAAACTCCCCCCCCCTCCCCCACGCTCCCCCCCCCTCCTCCTTCCAACCGCCCCCCCGAAAGAAAAAAAAACCGTATCCTACGTCCTGTTTCACAAGTGTTCCCCGCCTTCTGCTGATACTTGCTGGAAGGGCGACCATTGTTGCGAATGCTTGCTGCCTTTTTGCTAGTACTAATCCTAGTACGGCCTTGTTCGCAAGTGTTGCCCCTACTTCTTATGACAACATTACCCATATACCCCTACCCATAACCCTCCACAAAATAGAAGTTTTATTTTATTTTATTTGTTTATGTTTTTAAAAGGACGACGGCCTTGGGGCTTGGGATATCATCATCAAAGTGAAGAGCCCTTGGGAATTTCAGAATTGTAGTATTTCACTCATCTGCTTCCAGTAGTGGAGTTTGAATTTTTTTTTTTTTTTTTTTTTGAGTTTGAATTCTGGTCTGTACTTCAACAATTCTGAGGTGTACCAACTGAGCTAGGCCAGTTGGTGAGGAAGTTTCATTTTGGGGTTTAGCTCTAAACCACTATTTGAATGACAAGGAGGGCATACTCACACTTAGTCTAGCACTTTTTTACTCATTCGTGGCCGGAATTGCGGCCAGATGCAGACAAGTTTGGCCGTAAATGCTGTCAGATACATTTCAGATCGTGCTAGTGTGAATTCACCCTTTGAGACTCTCCTGGAACTTGGGTACTGGGGACAACATACGTACTAACAGCAAATTTCATGCAAACTGCACACGATATTTGCGACGACATCCATTCAAATTGAAACAATTTCAGCGAAGACTACGGGTAGCATGGCCTCTGCACAAGGATGACGCACGTCAATAAAGAAATGGTCCAGATTCTTCAATAGTTTACTTTCTGACACGTTCATTCACAGTTCATGGTATCCAGCTAAAAGGCAGCAGCAGCCAAAAAAAAAGAAAGGGAAAAGTTATATATTCCCCCTGCGACAAAATGTTTGTACTCGTTTGCCCCTGGACCGTGGCAAGAGGTCTGACAGGCCCCCGGAAGCTGGTGGCAAAAGTTATGCCTCAAGCCTTTCGGGCCCTCCTTGTACTCAGAAAAAGGAAACATAAAAATTTTGTGTTACTTCATGGTGAATATAGTCTGCTAGAATTTCCTCTATGCTTTCGGTGCCTCCTTGTACTCGTTTGCCCCTGGACCGTGGCGAAAGGCCCGACAGGCCCCTCAAAGCTGGTGGCAAAAGTTACGCCTCAAGCCTTTCCGGGCCTCTGAGACATCTGGGGGGCAAACGAGTGCAAACCTTTTGTCCGGGGATGTGATCTATAGCTTTCCCCCGCAAAAAAAAAAAAAAAAAAAAAAAAAGGCAGCAGCAGTATCTACCTATGAGGGAGCTAAGACAGAGAGGAGTTGATATCTGGAGCATATCCTCTCCTTTTTTTTTCTTAAAAAAACAAACAAAAACGCCCCCTCCAGTGCTAGTGGTGCTGGTAAAAGCAGACACCGCTAGGAGCATAACCTCTCCTGACCGGTGTTGAGCTTTAATGTCATAACCATTTTACAAGCAGGTATCGGCGTATCGCCCTGTCTTCTTCAAACACATTCGCGATCAACCCCCTCAACTCTCTCTCTCTCTCTCTCTCTCWCACACACACMCACACACACACACACACACACACACACACACACACACACACACACACACACACACTGGCGGCGAACTGGCCGTTCAGTGTAGGCTTAACGGCCGTTCACCACCCCCCTGGGCGGTTGTTCACGGCTGGCCGTTGATGGCCAAAAAAGGGCCTTCCAAAGGGCCTCTGAGGAAGGGACCGGCAGGGGGGAATGTGGCATGCATGCCCTAGACCCCCATTGTAAAAAAGAGCCAAGAAAAACGAGAACTCGGGGCTCAAAGGTCAAACCTACCCCCTGCCCCACGGTCCCCACCCAGGCCACCCCCGCAAAGAGACAGAGAGACAGAGGGACGGAGAGACAGAGAGGCAGACAAACAGACAGGCATGCATACAGAGAGACAGAGGCTGACAGGGACAGAAGGACAGGCATGGGCGGAGACAAATGGAAAGACAGACAAAGGGACATAAAGACAGACAGACATGGACAGAGACAGATGGGCAGACAGGTAAACAGACAAGACACAAAACGAGAGATGGTTAAAAAACAATTGGACCAAACCTATATGAACTTGAGGCTGTGAATACATATATTGTTTCGCCAAACTTCGCCTTTGCCTCCCTTAATTGGACGAACAAGCATGCGGAAAGATGGGTAGGCCGGCAGAAAGGCAGACAGACAGACATACAGGCAGACACACACAGACAGAGGCATACAGGGCCACGAGGACACGGACGGAGACAGATAGAGAGACAGACACGGACGGAGACAGATAGAGAGACAGACACAGGCCGACAGGCAGACAAAAGACAGACAGACGGACAGACAGACAGTAGTGCACACAAGAAGACTGGGACGGGCAGACGGAGATCAACAGAGAGCAAGAGACAGACATGGACACACTGCCTGTCTGTCTGTCTGGCCATCAGCCAGTCTGCCACTCTGTCTCCAAGAGAGGCAATGGTGTTGCAAATTATGCCTTTCCAACGTGAATCCTGTCTTAAGTTCTCAACAGCAGCTGCACTCTGTCCAATAACGCAGAGTCTGTGTACGCGCTGAGACAGAAAGCAGCTGCACCAACAAGGCATACACAAGCTGTAGAGAACCACGAAGACACTTCAGAACAGCGTTATGACAGCAAATACCCAAAGCGAGAGAGACATACCTGTCTCTTATACACATCTAGATGTGTATAAGAGACAGGAGTCTGACAACTCTCCGCATACTCTCCGATTTC